TTGAATCTGATTGAAGAGAAAATAATGACGGCCTTGTGTCATGGCCAATTGTATAAACATAGAATGAAGAAAGCATTTGATAAGAAGGTTCGACCTCGTGTGTTCAGAGAAGGCGACCTCGTGCTCAAAAAGATCTCGACTTTTACCACTGATTTTAGGGGCAAGTGCACTCTTAATTATGAAGGCCTATCTGTTGTTAAGAGAGCCTTCTCTGGCGGTGCATTAATTTTTACAACTATGGATGGTGAAGAGTTCACTCGTCCTATGAATGCTGATGCAGTCAAGAAATACTTCGCCTAAAAAATAAAATAACAACTCGCTAAGTTGAAAATACGAAAGGGCGACTTAGGAAAAAATGAGCGTTTCAGTGGATTGAAAACCCGAAAGTGCGGTCCAGGCAAAAATTAGAGACAAAAATAGAAATAATCATTCTGGTAGATTGAAAACCCGGGAGGAAAATCTAGGCAAAAGTTAGGGATTATGGCAAGTAACTGCATCTGGCTAGTCTTGATCGCTTGAAGCAGCATTTCCTATCAAGGACTTTACCTCAGTCACTCTCAGCTGAAGTATCAAGCACAATTAAAATTCAAAGTTGTTAGAGAGAATTGTGGTCGTTGTATTTCAATGTAGCCCTTTCCATTATATTTACCATTTTTCAAATTTTGTAATGATCTGTAGAGTTATGCCATTTGCAGACTACCATTCTATCAATAAAATTTGGGCCTTTGTCCCTTATTTTGCAATTCTCATTTTGTTTCTGTTTGCAAAATTTCATTTTTATTTTTGATGATGAATTTTGAAACAAATTATGAATAATTGATTTAAAATTTGAAAATTATAAAAACATTTTTTATTTGACTTATGAATATAAAAAGAAATGTCAGCAGTAATTCTAAGAATGGTAAAATCTCGAAGCGCAAAATGTAGTGTTGTCCTCAGCGGAGTTTTTTCTTGTTGATATTCTCCTTAGTAGAGTTTGTTGATGTTTTCCTCAGCAGAGTTCTTTCTTGCTCCTCTGGTAGAATTTATTAACAACTCCCCAGTAGAGTTGTGTTGAGGTTTCTCCAATAGAGTTTGTTGATATTCCTTTCACTTACGCTCCTCCTGAGACATGATCTATCCCACCATTCTCCACAAAGGAGTACGGGTGAATCACTTACGCTTCATCCGAGACATGATTCAACTCCACAATTCTCCACAAAGGAGTACGGATGGATCACTTACGCTCCTCCTGAGACATGATCCATCTCACCATTCTCCACAAAGGAGTACGGGTGAATCACTTACGCTCCATCCGAGACATGATTCAACCCCACCATTCTCCACAAAGGAGTGCGGATGAATCACTTACGCTCCATCCGAGACATGATTCATCCCACCAAAACACCATGATATGCACAACACCAATGCACAACACACAAACGTCAAGCACACTAAGTGCACACGATCCTACTGATCACGTCACCATACATCATATATACTCAGATATATATACACACCAATCAATTATGTCAATCAAATTTAATAATAGGAAAATTTACATTGAACACCGAGTACATACGATCCTCCCGATCACCTCACTATGCGTCATATATATATATATATATATATATATATATATATATATATATATATATATATATATATATATATATATATATATATATATATATATATATATATATGTATATATATATATATATATATATATATATATATATATATATATATATATATATATATATATATATATATATATATATATATATATATATATATATATATATATATATATATATATATATATATATATATATATATATATATATATATATATATATCTTACCCACCAATTAATTATGTCAATTATATTCTATATTCCATAATCTCACCTTTCAACACCAGGTATACACTCTTTGCCACTAAACACCATCTCTCTTCCTATCACAACCCAAGGAATCCTACAAAACGAATCACAAAGCAAAACAGCACAAAATCACGTTTCTGTCACGCTCGCTGGCTCACTCGCCTAGCGAGGCCTCAGCGAACGCTCGCTGCCTCACTCGCCTAGCGAACCTGCTAGCGAAGGCAGACAGTGGCTACTGGAAGTACTCGCTACCCAACTCGCCTAGCGAATTCCTAGCGAATGCTCGCTACTAGCTCGCTCAGCGAAGGTGCTGGCGAACGTCTGCGATTTCATAAAACCCTCACTGTTCAGAAATCCATCAGAAGCTCAAAACCCAGCCGATTCTCACTAAACCAGTCTCAGTGGTCTTAGCCTAGCATTCTACGACTAATCTACACGACTTATTCCAGATTTTACCCGATAAAACCTCCACTCTACCGATTAAATCATTTTCGACATAAACGGTAAACTACACCAATTCACCCAAATTATCCCAACAATTACCTTACAATCACATGCAAGGAGTTCACCATAACAGCAATGATCAGAAAACACAACAACATACTAATTATATTCATCAAATCCCTATGGGGTTAAGGAATCCCCAACTACCCAATTCATGCAATTACCAATCCCAATCTGTTTCTCCCTCCTTACCTCGACTAGTTGCTTCGATCGATGAAAAACTTCCAAGAATCCGACAGCCTTGACCTTCTTCTTCTTCCTCTTGTTCTTCCTCCTCACTCTTTCTCCCCACTCTTGATCGTGTTTCTCCCTTTCCTTCCTCCAAAACTCACTAATACCCCCTTATAACTCTAATTTCTCATTTCTTTATTCCAATAATATTAATAATAATAATAATAATATTACTATTAATTATCAAATTATTATCATTATCAATTATATTATATTAATATTAAAGGCCATAGCTTCTTAAATAATTCCCACAAAAGACCCGCCAAAATAAAATAACACCGAAAAGACTAAATAATTAAAATGGGTGTTACAATACCTATTTATAATTGCTAAAATCCCATATATCCATAACAAAACCCAAAACACAATCCATTAACAAATGGATCTGCAAACAAACCCCAATAATGTGTCAGTACCAAAATATGTCATTTTTCCTTCTTTTTTCTCACTTAAGGTTTTAAGGCATATTACAACACTAACACAAGAGTATAAGGGAAAAAAATCAAATACAAATTTAAAATATTTTTGACTTGTCCATTTTGTAATGTAGAACTTGAATCCATTATATAACATTGGATTCCATCTTCCTTTATAAAACTAAATAATGTGAGACTTATTTTCAACCAATATCAATATTTTTCAATGTCATGGAGAATATTTTTCTAAAAAACCATGTTCGTTGTCATTTCACCAACAAATTTTTTTGTTTTATGTGTTTAAACTATAAACAATATGATCTACTTACTTTAGAGTCATATCATAATCGTATACTCCATACACGAATAAAATAACCAAATGTATATAAAAAGTATTCATGCAACCTGAGTGGACACTCATATTTTTTCAATCATGTATCACCACATTTCAATTTTCAATTTTTTCTTTAGACACACCACCTCTTCCACAATCCAACAAATTAAATTACTTGTTATGATTAGAATCAAAACCAGAACTGTAAATAATTAACTATGAAGAAAAACTAACTTAACAGCTTCATAACGAAACAAGTCGCAAAATAATTTATTTTCTGAATTATAAAATATTTTTCAACGGTTCCTCAACCACAAATTTTACAACATTTGTTTCCTTAGCATCCACAGCACCAAACTCTAGTGGTTTTGTTTAGCCACCAAATTCCATAGGTAAGAAAAATAAAACAAACCTATAAATGAAACTGTGTCGTGAATTAATTGTCTTCATTATGTAATTTGCATCAAGACTTTATAGAATATGGACCACAGGCAAATAAAACTTTTGTCATTTTCTTTAAAGGATCCCATAAAATTACCCAACTTGTGTTACTAGCCTGCAACTGCAACTGCAACAACAATAACTGGGTCTACTCCTTTAATTAATTTATCTTGGATCTTGTGTCTTATTATTATTATTGTCTATTACAGGCAACACAGACTGTTTTCAATTTCACTCTCTCTTTGTGATTTTATGTTGCTTCCTTTTCATAGTCAGAAACAACTCTAGATTCCAAAACATTTTTTCACTTTTTCACTTTCTGTACCTAAAGCCTAAACGGATCATACTCTTCCATTCCATGCCTTCTTAGGCTTGTGCCATTTTTTTTTGGCCCTACTGCTTTTTAATAAGCCTCAAAATATTAACCCTACCATTTTTTTATTGCCTTCACAAAACAAAACCCTTGTCTGCAATCTCACCATTTTTCTGCTTGTATAAACTAAGAGACTAATTTGCATTGTGTTTTTCAGTATCATCACATGCAATTCATTAAAACACATGGATGAAATTAATACTATATAGTAAATATATGATATGATATGATATGATATAAATACATATAAACATTAACATTGACATAACTATTCATTCACATTCACATCTATATTATCATTCATGCATGCATGCCATTGATGTCAGGCTAATTAAGCTAGCTCATTCGGATTCAGACACTAATTATAGAAAAGCTTTAACAATCTCAGTTAAACTGTTCATTAGGACTGTTTATCATGCATGAACAAATTTTTCTGTTCATTTGGACTCAGGTAAACTATTGGGGAAGCATCTAGGAAAATTGTTTTGTTGTATTAGTATTTTATGCCAAATAAAATGTAAAAAATGTAGTTTCGCATATAATTATTAATAAAACTGATAGACGATGATCATATCGTAATTTATCTGGATACTATGTTATAGTTTTGGTCAACAAGTTATGATCTATAGCCGCAACCAGAGAGAAATTATAATTATAATTATAACTCAATACAAATATTCTATATGTATAGCATTGCCATTCTTACACTTATACTAGCTAGTGTGAAAAATATAAATAATTAGAAAACATTGTACTTTCACATCCTATAAATGCATATGATACATCATCATATATATAGATAGAATCGAGCTTCAAAGAACAAAAACAGTACTACTATCCATTTCTGGTGTTATTATGATCTGAATCAAGAAGCTTGGAGTTTATAAACGGCATTGTTTGATTGCGTCTAAAAGGTGGATTGATTGGAAGATGAAGAGACGGGATGAAAGTACTAGTTGATGAGGAATTCAAGATCTGAACATGGTTGAATTGTCTTTGAAAATCACTTTCCATGGATGGAGGATTCTGAGTAGTACTAAAAAGTGATGGCATAACAGAAGGAGGACAAAAAAGTAACTGTGAATTACCTGCTGAATTAGGTCCTGTCAAATTAGAAGATGAAAATTGCATAGCACTTCCATTGCTGTTTTGGTGAAATAAATTACCATGAAAGCTTCCGAATTGTGATAACGATAGAGTACTCGAAGGATCCAAGTTGTTATTATATGGAAAAGGAAAACCAGTGGATGAATAATTAGAACAAACTGAGCTATAATAATTACCCTTTTCTGCAGAATTTTCAGGTTCTTTACCTTTAATTTGATGATGATCATAAAAACCACTTCCAAGAGAAAAATTTGATTCTTGAGGATTCTGCAAATACCTTAGGGTTTGTTGTTGAGTACTAAAATCAAGAGGTGGTAACTTATCAATATCAGATTGAGTTGCTTCAAGTAACCAATCAACAACTTTACTAGGTTGGCTTAAACCAAGCCTGTCTTGAAGATCATATAACTGAATTGCGGTTGGTACAGACAGCCTAATACGCCTGTCTCTTAATCCTTTGATTGTACACACTTTGCTGTGTCGGTCTTTTCCCCCTAAAGAACGTGACACTCTCACAATTCTTGGATTTCTTAACGATGTCCATTGTCTTGATGTAGCTACTGCTTTGTTGGAGAATTTCTCCATGTTCGTTGCTCCATTTTCATCATCTTCCTTTGTTGCTTCGTTGTAATAACCTTTACCAGTTGAGTTTTCTATCATCATCAATTTCACCTCAATTTTTCTCCTGCATGCACCACAACTCATAAACAGTTAGTTCGAAAAACACTCCTAATCACTGAGATCCGTGAAACTCTTTAAAAAATAATAATTTTTTTTGTAAACATGAATTTGACAAAAGAATTTTCAGTGTTAATTATGTTAAAAAGGTCTGAAAGAAATAGTAGAAAATTAAAGTTTTTCTAGACAATTATGCTTATATTTATATTGCTAGAAAATTAGGGCAAAGTTAACTGTATTGATTGAATTGAAAGCAGTGAATCTGTGAATAGGAATATTTGAGAGAAAATATTAGGTTGAAGCATGATGGATGGAGAAGAAGAAGAACTTACAATTAAGAGAGAAAAATCTGGGTGGTATATATATTTATGTGTGTGTGCAAGTACTGTTGTATTATAAGGTCATCACCATAGGGAAGAAGAGAAGAGATAGTTGGTAGAGAAGAAGAGAGAATAGTAGAAAAGAAATAGGAACAGTGCTCTTTCCAAAATGAAAGATTTAATGTTAATTAGTTCAGCAGCTGGCCTCTGCAACCTTTTCCTGCAAGGGAATAATTTTGCATTAATTAAGGAAATTTACAAAGTAAAAAGTTTGAATTTTCATGTTGCATGTAGGAATAATAATTTTTTTTGTAAGATAAATATCAAAAATTAATTTTAAATAATTTATTGGTGATGGAGAGGTGCTTTTCTCTTTCGATATTCTTTGATCACGAGTCTGGCAGATTTGTCTCATCGTGTGTTAATCTGGTCGGTGAAAATCATAAGACTGATTTTTGACATGATATATAGTTGGGGACTATCCTCTTGTGTGTCTCTTTTGAGAGATTTTTTCTTATCTCTTGAGAAGATATCTCACATGGTGGGATCTTTGAGTTCTTGGGTTGAGATCTTTGGGTTTGACGTTTTAGGCGAAGTTGGTCTTTTCTAGTTTGGGTGGAGGAACTTTTTGAGGGTTTGCTAAGTTTTATTTCAGGAGTAGTTAGGCGTGATCAGAAAGATGTTTGGGTATGGGAGTCAGATCCGTCTAGGGGCTTCTCGATTAGTTCAGCTTAAGGTATTCTTTTCGCTTTTTCTAGGGTCAATGAAGGTAGATTTGAGAGGATTTTGTGGGGCCTTATAAGGATTTGGAAGAGTTGGGTGTCGTCCAGAGTGGTTGTCTTCTCTTGTCAGATGATTCAGACCAAATTATCGACTTGTCAGATGGTTTGTCTCTAGGAATGTGAATTATGTTGTTTGTGGGGGACAAATAGAGTCACTTGATAATCTATTTGTTTCGTGAGATTGCTTCGGCCATATACTATAGAGTTTTTACGTGGGTGGGGTGGCGGTTAGGGCCTCTGCAGCCTTCGACTCTAGGGGTGTTTGAGTTGTTTCAGGGTTTTGATCATGGAAAACAGACGTCTTTAGGTTTGACTTCGATCTGGCATTAAGTGGTCTGGATCATTTAAAAAATACGAATAAAATATTTTTTAGTCGAAAAAGCTTTTTTAGTGAATCATTGGTTTATGTTATTGTTAACTTGACGTGGAAGTGGGTTAAACCCCATGCTCTTAGTGTTGGTGTTTCTTTGGTTCACTGGTAGAGTAAGACTCGCTCAAGTGGCTTGCTATTTAGGGGTGTGTTGGATGACCATTTATCCTTCTTTGTGTTATATTTGTGTGTAGGTGGTTGTGTATACGTTCTTCCAACTTACTTTTTTCGAGATCAGTTTGTCTAAAATTTTAGATTAATTTTTGGATTGACGGTTTAGTCGACTTGTGTTTTTATTTATTGTTTGATTCTAATTTTCTTTGTTTTTTGTTTTTACGTGTGACAAATGCTTTTATTTTTAGTAATATATGATTCATACTCTGCTTTATTATTAAAATAAAAATATAATCAGTTTTCGTCATGAGATAACTCGAACAAACACACATTGTGTACTAAAATAATTTGAGATAGCATCATGGTGTGGATTGATCGTGATAATAACTCACATATTTAAGGATTGGAACATTTGAGATGGTTCCATATCATTGTAAAGCGGAGGCTTTCGATAACAAAATTTTATTATTTGGTTAATTGTTTGTTAGAGTATTTGATTTATGAAAAATGATATTCGCTTCCAGTGGTAGAATTGGGGAGATGAGAGATGAAATTTAATGTGGCCACTTTTTAGACATTAAAGTTAGAGGGTGTTCAAATTTTTTTAATTGAAATAAAAATCTGTTAATGTATTTAAATTTGAAATGATTTTATAATTTTGAATTGATAACCCTTACTACTCTCTTGATACAATTGCTTTTAAAAGAACATATCAATTTAGTTTTTCGTGAAAATAACCTCATATTTTAAAGAATTTATTTCATAGCTAAACTGGAGAATTAATTTAATGATATAGTCAGTAATACATACTAATTTTTAGAAAAGAAAAATGAGAGCTTGTGCTAATAATAATTTAAATATTATATACAAATTAAAGCTAAAAGAAAAAGGGAGAAAAAAAAAAAGCAAAGTTTCAGAAAAGAATAAAAATAATAAAGGAGTATCCTTTCTATCAACCCATAAATATCTTCATCCAAATTCTTCACTATACTTTAAAAAAAATGTTCCCAAACCTAGAGAATTGATACGCAATTCAACGGTGAATTTTACTATTTTAAAATAAATTTTAACAAAATATTATATTTAGTTTTATTATAATATAATAATTTTTTATATAGAGTCTATTTTTAGATTATTTTTTAAAGAATTAACCATAACACTTAAATCACTCAGACAAAAAAATGCTTAAATTACTTTTATTAATTAAAAAATTTATAAGTGTATATAATAAAAGTGCAATCAAACTGAATTTTAAATGAAATTATATATATTATGTAATAAGACCAAATCCTATTTTCACATAAGCTTTACCAGAAAAATGAAGCAAAATTGGAAAATAAAATATGTGTCATATCAAACAGTTTTTTGGGACCAACCATTAAACGGTCATTATACAACTTCATTATCACTTTCTCATTTCATCAAAATAATAAAACACATCATATAAAAATAATTTAATCATTGCTAAATTGAAATAGATAGGTTACATTACAATCGCATGCACGTAAAAATAAGAGATTAATTACAATATATATTGTCTGTAAAATATTTTGTAATGTCAATTTATCATATATTATTTTATAAATTGTTTTTATGAGAAGTTGGATGGAAATTCTTATTTTCTATAATTTCGTTTCTATCTTAGTTAATAGGAGTCCAATCGAGGATGTTGTGGTTTCTAGAGGTCTTCGCCAAAGGGATCCTCTTTCCCTTTTCCTCTTTTTGCTGGTGGCATAAAGGTTATCAGCTATGATGAGGAAGACCTCCTTTTGGGGTGAATTCAACGGTTTTCGATTCAATAATGATGTGCATTTCAAAATTCTTCAATTTGTGAATGATACCATGGCGATTGGTGGTGGTTCTTGGAAGAATCTTTAGAGCATTAAAGCGGTCCTTAGAGGATTTTAATTGTTATCGGGATTACGTTTTAATTTTTGCAAAAGTAGATATGTGGGTTTTAACTTGGATTTGGATTTTGTGCAAGCGGCGGTTTCTTTTCTTAAGTGTGTTATTGGTTCTCCAACTTTCACTTTTCTCGGTATTCTTGTGGGTATCAATCCTAGAAGAAAGGAGGTTTGACATCCATTTTTGGCAAAGATGAAAAGGAGGTTTTCTAATTGGAATAGAAAAAATTTGTAATTGGTGGTTGAGTGGTGCTTCTTAATGCCATTCTTTCTAACATTCTGATTTTTTATTTCTCTTTTTACAAAGCTCCGAAGGTGATCATCAAAGAGATTGTCAAGATTCAGAGAACTTTCCTTTAGGGTGGTCGGGAGGAGAAAAAGAAAATTGATTGGGTTAGTTAGGATACGGTGTGTTTGTCGAAGAAGGAAGGAAGACTTGGTATTAAGCATTGCGATCACTTTAATCTCGCTCTTCTTTTTAAGTGGAAGTGGTGTATTTTGAATGATGTTAACGCCTTTTGGTTTGAGCTTTTTTCTTTTAGGTATGGCAATTTAAGAAGGATCTTGCTCAACGATCTGTGTCCTCCGTTGGGGAAGAAGGCTTCTATTTGGTGGAAAAACATTTGCGTGGTGAGTGTAGAGGTAGATCAAGCTAATTGGTTTGTTAATTCAATCGCTTGCAAACTCATTAATGGAAAGCTCATAGATTTTTGGCAGGATAAATGGGTGGGAACTGAGCCTTTAAGCAGGCAGTTTCGTGATATTTTTCTATTTACAGATCAGAAATGTCCCGAAATTGTGCAAAACGATTTTTGGTTGCAAGAGATCTAGAACTGGACTGTGGCTATGCAAGTCGTTCTGTTACAGCAGGATGTTGCGTTGTTGCTAACAGATTTGCTCGCGATTCTGCAGCAGGTGCAGATGAACCGTTTGGAGCCCGATCGGATTGTGTGGTGGAGAAATCCTGCAGGTTTTTTGGTTAAGCATTGTTATGACAGGATTGTAGATTATTGTCACCGTGTTTCTGTTTTGGACGGGTCTGTTCTGAAGGTGTTAAGGAGTTTATGGCAGACGAAAGCTCCTAGCAAGTTTTTTTTTATTTTTGGGTGGAGATTGGTGTTGAATCGTCTCCCAACTAAATTAAATTTAGAGCGTCGAGGCGTTTTGAGTGGTTCTCTCAATTTGTTGTGTCCTCTTTGTGGTGGGAGAGTATGTGAGGGTTTGAATCACCTTTTTGGAGGTTGTCCAGTTTCAGATGGTTGGTGGACTCAAGCAATTGATTGGATTCATATCATTTTGTCTTTTCAATCAATGTCTCCTATCGATTGTTTGCTTGCGTTTGAGGTGGCATTTGATGTGATTTTTAAGGCGGATTACATATGGATTTTTGGTTTAGCTATTTGTGGGACCATTTGGTTTTGCCGAAATTCCATTCTCTTTGATGGCGTTTCTTTGGATAAGTTTGATAAGTTGGGGATGATCAAACGGTTGTCGT